CCATAAGCAGGCTATCTCCAGTGGCTAAGCGTCCCACGGCACGACTCGCTGATGATTTCCTGAATGGGGAGTACGCAGTCCGTTGTATCCAGCCCGTGCCTCAGGTCAGTACTCAGCCACAGATCAGATTCCAAGACACAGCTCAGCCTGTTCCTTTCTCCCTTCTCATCACGGCATGTACAACCTGTCCAGCGAATGCTGGTCCGGTCTGGTCTTACCCGGCCGATCTCCAGTCAAGTTCAGTTTAACGTGCAGTCTCCAATCCCCAGGCTCCAGTCTCTGGCCGCCAGTCTCCAGCCCTCAGTTAATCTAGGATATACTAGTCTTGGCTATATGTTCACTCCAGCTCACTGCTGCTTCGGGCAGCTTTGCAGCGCTATGGTCACTTCGACTTGTACTATTCACGTCTCGGATAACACCAGCCATGGTCCACACGGCACCCGAGCCCGAGCGCAGTACCCTGCCATCATCACTGACCGGGGGTCCGCGTACCGGGCCGAGCGCAGCGGGTCAGGTCATCCATGTCACGTCACGCGTGTCCGACGCGTTGATTGACGGGCCGGAGACGCGCGACCCGCGACCTGACCTGCCGGGCCGCAGCAGGCCGCGGCCACACGGTACTAGCGCTGTGTACGTATTTCAGTCACTTTTCCTTTCCAGTCCAGTCCAGTCCAGTCCAGTCCAGTCCAGCCTAGCCAAGGCTTCAGCCTCCAATGCCCAATGTCCAGTATCAAGTTCAGTTACAGTGTACCAGTTCAGGTCAATGTCCAAGTCCAGTGTCCCAGTCCACGTAGTCCCAGTGCTTCAGGCCTGCCATGTCCAGTGCCCAGTACCCCATGTGCCAAGTGTCCCAGTGCTCCAGCTGTCCAGTGTCCTAGTGTCACATGTGACCCATGCCCAGTGTCCCATGTGTCCCAGTGCCGGCCAGTGTCCCCAGTGTTCCAGATGTCCCATTTGTCCAGTGTCCAGTGTCCGGTGCCCAGTGTTCGGTCTTCAGTCCACTAGTGACAGTAGTTTCCAGCCGCGTCGAGCCGGGCCACAGCGACGAGCCCGGCTCAGCTGGCCGCAAGACCGGCCGACTAACCGCTGGTCAGCTGATCGATCTCCACGCGCAGCTCGCTCTTGATCTCGCCGGCGATTCTCCGACCGTCGATGATGGAGGCAACCCTGAAACGGAGCGGCAGCCGGTGCCACACTCAGACCCCGACAGACAACGGGGCACTGGCGGCGCGACGGCCGTGGTTGGTGGGCCTCACAGTGTCTGGGCTCGGTGCGTCGTGGCGGAGCCCTCGCTACTGATCACCTCACAGCAGTGACGTGACTTCCGCTGGTCAAGTCCCTACTATCTGGCCCTCCCGCCTCTATGACGTCGCTCTCGCTGACCAAGCCGCAGCCATCTGGCGCTCCCGCCTCTATGACGTCACTCCCGCTGATCAGGCCCCTGCCATCTGGCGCTCCCGCCTCTATGACGTCACTCTCGCTGGTCAGGCCCCTGCCATCTGGCACTCCCACCTCTATGTCGGAACGGCAACAGCGATACCACATAAGAGGAATTGTAATGCCGGATCAGGCCAATCAGCAGTTACTCCTCACAACCACAGAAACACTGTCCGCTTCATGCTTGACCGTTTTCCCGGCTGACAGCTGCGGCTCTTACGTCCACAGACACACTGCGTGCTACAGTCAGAGTAGCTGTGTGGTCTGATCTTGACAACGCCTTAACATTGATGTTAGAAGCCAGCGATTCTTGTCCCCCCCCCCCCCCCCCCCCCCCCCCTCCTGCCCTGCACCTCTCTCAACACACCACCAGCCGTGCCATCAACATTCAACCAGAAAGTATTTGTGCATGAACATGCCAGACATACCCCCTCGCAGAAGTCGGGCAAACTGATTTCAGTTTAGCACTGCGGTTAAGTCCATTCCTAGCTCTCAGTGGCAGCTGCAGGCTCAATGACCTAGCTAAATGCAAAAGAGCCATCTGAAACACAGGAAATGTGCATGTTAGTGTAAAATGTGCATCTGAAACATTCATAAAAAGCGCTCTGTTTTTGTCGGGAAAATCACCCAGCGTCTTCAGGGACTGGAAAGCTATGATTAATACAGACACTGAGTGGATTTCCCACAAAAAGCGAGAGACAGCAGTGTGCCAGTGCTAAAAATTATTCACCAGGCACACACAATCGAAAAGGTTAACAACCACAGCTGCACAAGCAAGTTGTCATGGATAAAATCCTTAAAGCATCGGTCATATCCGCAGCAGGAACGCCCGACCGGAGACTTCAAACCGCGTGATGATCTCACAGCGCATGCGCGCAAGCGTCACACGACGTCACCAGGGGAGCTCGCGGGCGTGTTCACCGGCGACCAGGGGTTCAGATGGCACCTTACAGCGGCGGTAGCTTCATAGCGTTACAGCGGCTTCAAGCGTATGTGCGTCACGACACTACATCCATTCTGGCAGTTGTCCTTTGTTGTCCTGCCCTGCCCTGCCCTGCCCTGCCCTGCCCTGCTGCCCTGCCCTGCCCTGCCCTGCCCTGCCCTGCCCTGCCCTGCCCTGCCCTGCCCTGCCCTGCCCCGCCCCGCCCCGCCCCGCCCTGCCGTCCTCTTTTAAGTACGAAGCACAGCACAGCTGACTGCGCCGGTCGCCGTCCAGTTTTACCTTACGTCGGATTTAACCCTCGTGATGGTCGGCCATAAATACCCGCCCGTCTGACACCGGCGTCGGTTACGCGCGCGCGAAACAGAGGCACGTGTTTAAGCATTCAACAGGGTTTCTTACATGTAGGAGAAATAGCGTGTGCATGGACCAAACCATTGAAAATATGTCGCAATGTTTGAGTTACGATGAATGCATTATCCCTACATACAGAGTGCTGCCAATTGACGCAGACGATGAAACCTTAGGAATAGTTATCAGGACACCATATGCATCATTGGAATGCGAATGTACGAGCAATCTGAGCATGCTTACGAATAATACGCGAAGCATTGTATGTGGATGGAGTCGTATGGATGCTGACGTCAACAGTCCAGGCTTCTCGCGCGTGCGAAGGGACCAGGAGCGCGGGAACTAACAAGCAAATAATGTCTGTTCAGTGTACCGAGTGCGCGGAACAGCGTGCACAGGCAGCCCTGAGAACAGCTGCTCTCGAGCATGCTGCAGCTACTGACAGAGCACCGTGGACAAGCTATGGCTGTGCAGAACTATGTCGTGTTATATCAAATAAGGTCGCTGTTGTAGGTTTCCGAAGCATGTCCGAAAAGCGCAAGTTATGGAAAATGAACGGTCACAACACGCAGAGTGCAGGGCAAGTACGCTAGCGTGCTTCCAACCGGGGTCGTGCAGCGTCAAAAGATCCCGTAAAGGTGAAGAAATTATTGTGAAGTCGTTGCCATTTATTAATTCAAGAACTGCTCTCACGTAGGTATCGGGGTCCTCGCCTAGGACAGAACGCAAGGACAATCGACGTAGTCTCTTACGACCACAGTGGCGATAGCGCTCCGTGGCAGTGTGAGCACTACGTGAGAACATGAGCGACGGACAGCGCGTAATCGCAGCGAGGACATGCAGGTGCTTGCCCTGCTGAGAGGAGAAAACTATGTGACCCGTGTGTGTGACCTATGCGGATGCGGCACAGGCTTACTTCCTCCCTTCTACCATCGCGATGACAGGATTGTCATTTGCCTAGGCTTGACTTGACAGCCTTAAGCTTGCTTCGCGCATTCCCATGGTCGTCAGTGCTCTTCCGATCCTGTCTTTTTGCCAGTCAACTTAAAGCGAGCTGACAACACCTGCCTGAGTTCAGAAAACGGCGCAAGGTAAGAGCGAGAGCAAGTTCCGACTGCTCTCTCCTTGGCCGCAGTGTCCGCCCACTTGTTGCCAGTAGTGCCGGCATGTCCAGGCCCCCGACTGAGAACAACATGCTTCCCGACTTCTTCGAGGGATGTGATAATTCAAATAACCTGGTCAACTAAGACACGCTCTGTTTTCGAGTAATGGATGGCTAGAATACTGCTCACGGCGTCGGGCAGAATAAGAAACTGCTCCACTCATTCCCCCTCCACAGAGGCTGATGCCACCTTGATAACAACAGTTCAGAGGTAAAAACCGAACAAAAAAGAAACAAACAAAATGAAAAGTCCCCCAGAGTTGTGCAGGAATTGTTGTCCATTTCATTGACAGCTGTGAGCTCACATCACCATTATGTAAAAGGGCTGAGCTCATTTGACCCATGATGAAGCTGCCTGACTTACCTGTGACATTACTGTTCAACACCACTGCTTGGCTCAACAAAGGATGAGTTCAGTGCACAAGTTGCTGCTATTTGTGCAGCAATATCTAGCAAAGGCAACCTGCAATGACAATTAGGTATGTCAGGTAAACTGGCAGTTGCCAATTATTCTTATGGGGAATGTAGATGGAGCAGTGTACCCTTTGGTTGAGTGTAGTTTCAACTACTTTGAATCAAAATAACAACATTGTTGGGCATACACAGCAGATCCAGTGGCTATGAAGTACAATGGCCCTCAAAACATACATTTGGAAATGTTTCACACTATAAGAATGCTCCTGTCACAAGCAAATGATCATCTTCATGCACAAAATTGGGCTGCTGCTCCAGCTGGCAGGGTTCTGATGTAGGCACATTCTCAGGACCAATTGAAGCCTGACAACAGGCAGAGAACTTTCTGGAACATGGCATGCATACTGAAGCACAAGACAAGGATGGCATAATAGTCCTTGACCTGTAATCCTACCATCCTGTATCAAAAATTCTACAAAACCAGCATGTTTCCTGATCCCACAGTTTTGGCAGATGGTAAAATAGTGTCGGTTCCACAAAACAAAGTGCTCACAAGACCTGGCTTGGACTTGACCCCCTGATTTTGAAATGATGTGCTTGGCTGTGGTCTTGGGTTTTATAGTTCCAATTGGCTTTAGTCTCCTGTTTTCTAAGTTTCAAGCTGCTCACACCACAATATACTATGGGGTCACATGGAACTGTGTGACCAGGTCATATGGGTCAGGGCTCACACCAGGCCTAGGTCCATCCCTGCAGAAAATTTGGATTACATCTTTAAAAAGGTCAAGATCAACAAAACTTGAGCTTCAACCTGTGCTCATGTCACTCGTCTCATGTCAGTCCATTAAAAATCCATCCAATAGCTGCATGGCATCAGTGAGTCAAAACTCAATGATATGTGCAGAGCTAATGTCAGGTCAAATTTTCCTTATCATTTTCAACAAAAGGTATGAAAATTATCACAATTTGTTTGCCTGAATTGATTTTGCAACATTTCACACTTACTTCTTGTAATTTGTTGCTAATGGTCAGATGCCACATGAGCTCATGCAAACACCTATGAGCATACCATGAGACATCAGGTTCTGAATAAGAAATGCTAACAAGACATTGTCATTTAACTGGAATATCCTCAAAAATATTCAAGACCGATTATTGGCAGAAAAATAATTCCTGATGCACATGGCATTTCCTAATGCATCACAAATAACTTAGATCTTACTTCAAAGGGCATGCATGCCATGCCAGTTTTTTACAAACCCCTCACTTCACTTTCCTGCAGTCCAAATCAAGGCCGCATAAATCCGAATGGTAATTTACAAAAACAGCATACCGGTTAGCGTATAATTCGTGACCTGTCCTAAGCAAATCATACAGAGCAACAATACAACACAAAATAAGCATTGCTGCATGCAGCTAACGGAATATTCACGGCCCAACATGCATGTGCTGCGGCTGTCTGCTAGAATCTATTTACGCCCGCCTGCATCTCACCTCGAACCAGCCAGCTGGACATTTCGCCGATCTTTTGCGGCGGCTTTGCAAAGAAACTCGCGATGATACAAATATTGCGCAGTAACTACAAAAACATTGCTGAAAGATTGAGCTAAATTCTACAAATTTGTCATGGCCTGGTCCAGAAGTGAACGCTTTACAAACCACACAAGTGACACCCTGCCAGTAGCAAAGGCAGGTGAGCACAGCTTCACGTTCCCGCCCCCCCCATAAGTTCCGAAGAGCCCGAAGGGCGCAATTTGAGGGTCTAAATGGCCCAAAAAGCTAGCTAGAGGCTTCATTTACTCAAATGCCAGCCAGACGACCGTGCGCATTGATCAGAGGCCCACTGTGTGGATAAGGGCCTATATTTCGGCCAGACATCACCAGCAAGGCACAGTCGGCTCCGTAGCCTCGTGGGACTCAGGGCCCATTTTCCAAGCAGGGGTTAAGTCGGTGCCAGCGATTTTATTGCTTGGGGCCCCACAGAGCCCAACAATGACCCTATGCTGTCAAGGGGCCCCGAGTCGGCCAGACGCATTGTTCGAGGACCCCCGAAGAGCCTGGAGGGCGCACCGGGTCCAAGGATCAGGGGTCTGATTGGAGGGTCGAAGGGCAGAAAGGGCTGGGCGGGGTCTTATTCAGGGCCAAGACTCGCGAAGATATACTCTCAAATAACGGTCAGAGGACCCTTTTCGCTGATCGGGGATCCCCTGAGTCGATATGGGCCCTTATGTTGGCCGGGTACCACCGTACCACATAGTCGGCCCCGTGTCGGTATGGGACTGAAGACACTCTTTCAATTAGCTTTAATGCCGGGGCCAGTGATTTACAATGGTCGGGGCCATATATCTGTCAAGGGCTCACAGCGCCTAACAGAGCCCCCTGTGCTCGCGAAGGCCCCGAGCCGACTGAGAGAATTGTTCGATGAGGTCCGAAGATTGGTCCGAGCGGCCCATCGGAAGCGACGATCAAAGGCCCGATTGGAGGGCATAAGCGCCTGAAGGACAGGTTGCATTTAACAAAAAGAATCGCGGCCAATAGGGTCGTGACTTGAAATATCAGTCAGAGGTCCTCTTGCATCGTTTGAGGAGCCCCTGAGACAATGCGGGTGTCTAAGTCGATAAGAAACGACGAACACAAAACAGTCTTCCCTATGTCCGGCTCTCTAAGCACATGAGGCTCATTTCCCAAGCAGAAACGAGGCCAGGGTCCGCAATTTGCAATGTTCGTGGTCCCTGACGCAATGGGAGGCTCCTGTGTCCGTGAGGAGCCACAGTGTCGGAAAAGGTCCTGTGGCAGCAAGAGGCCTCCAGTCGGAGCGGTGTTCGAGGAGGCCGGAAGAGGGGGTGAAAGGTCTCTCGAGACCAAAGATCGAGGACCCGATGGCATGACTGAAGGGTGCGAAGGGCTGGTTGTAGGTCAGGTTAAGGACTCCCGCCCATTGGGCCGTGATTTCAAATGTCATTAAGATTATTTCTTGCACCGATAGGATCCCCGACACAGAGTGTTTCTCTTTCGGCCAGAGATCACGAACAACAAACAGTGGGCTTCATGTTGGTCTGAGCTCTGCGAGCCCTTTTCCCCAGCAGGGAGAAGGCCACGCCCTCGTCTTACACCGGTCGGGCTCCCGCATCGTTCAGCAGCCCACAGTGCCCAACGGGGCTTTCCATGTTAACAAGGGGCCTCAAATCGGTCTGGGCAAGATTGCTCATGAGAGACGGGTACGGGGAATGGCAGAGGGTCTCTTGCGTTGGTCGGGGGCCTCTGACAATTGAAGGAAACAAGAGCTTATGAGTACTCACCTCGAGGTAATAGAAGAAAAATATGCTAGTCGGTGCCCCAGTTCCAAACCGTGGGCACTATAGCCCTTTTCCAGCATGGGCCGTTAAACCCAGCTAGAGTCCATATGCAATTATTTGGCCATCTGCGATGAGAAGGAATGTTATTGCGTTAATGACGGCTCATGCGTCGATCCGGGGTCAACTGCGCGGGTCAGAAGGCCTCCCGCGTCAGGGAGCGGACCAGAGTGATACGATGTATCCCTCCAAGGTCCTCCGAATCGGCCAGGGGATGCCGCCCCGTGTCGCCAGAATGACAGCTGAAAAACGCACTGCGTTAGGACAGCATAACCCTCCACTCCTTGACCGGGAACGAAAACATACTCCGTAGTGCTATATTCAAGGGGCCCCTTACCGGAAAGAAATAGGCAGTCTCATTGGTGCTGAATGGAGTGGGTCGACATTAGTTCAAAACGCACAAGGCGATCCCGTGTTTCCCTGAGGACGCTCATCGTTTTAAAGAATCGACTAGTGAAATAAATATCATCAAAATGTTTTGAGTCTGCGCGCCGGGCGCCGATAGTGTAGTGGTTAAAGCCACTGCCGGTCTGGGGAATCACAGGCACTGGGTTCGATTCCCCCGCGGTGCCCGCATTTCCTGCCAGGGTGAGAGGCAGGCGGCGCCGTGTAGCCCCTGCAGCTGAGTGCGTCATAAAGCCCCAATGACGCGCCCGCAATTTCGGGTACAAGGATAGCGATGGCTTCGGTCGCAGTTTTCGTAAAACCGAACGGCGTTGGCCACTGCAAGTAACGCCAGGAGGCGGGCGCTGAACGCGCGACAATGACCTGAGTAAAATAATGTTTCTGAGCGTCTTTCGAAATTATTTCGTGCAGTTCAAAGATTACACTGGGCGAATCTTTTTTAGGCCTTGAGGCTGTCCTCTAGGGAGATTAACAGTTACAGAAACACCAAATACAAATTTTGCCAAAGCTCTTCCATTTCCACAACCAGATTCCAACACCAATTCGCGTTCCTGTACAGACAAACCAATACGTTATTGTCATCAATCTGAAAAACGCGCATGTGAAATATACACCCGAAACATCTCTAAATGTACGATTTGGTCTCCGAAGATGCTTAAGGTACGTCTTTCAGATGCTTCACTATTTTCGTCCGCTTGTCGGCCACGGCCTAGTCTAAGCCGGAGGGCCGACGCGCTGCGGCCCAGGGAGACTGCAACGCCTGGCGTCGAGTTTTTTGTTTTGTTTTTAAGATATACGAGCGCGCATGCCCAAAACTACGTCCCACAATGTGTGCCACTAATCAATTATGATTTGATGTTGCAGATATCCAGACAAACGTGGCCAGGCAATGTTAAGATAAATTGTTGAAGCATTTTTATCTTCAGCCTGCATTCGCGAAATCCTTGCCATTTTTGTAAAACCCAGATAAAAATTATGACGAAATTTCTGAACTCTATCGGTATAAAAACAGTTCACTGGATCATTGTAAAGTGAGGAGCGCTGCCGTCTTATTTCGTGCACTCATTTAATGCGTAATTTTGTTATTTTATTTATTACAAAGCTGTTGCCTAGAGCAATCTTTTTCACTTAAAAGTATACCAATAGCTATAAGTGAGCTTATTTAATCATATATGATGCCTGGTTTGATATCTTCAGATGTGAAACATAGCCTTTCATTGACAGCCTACCAGTTGACTCAACGACGTCATTGCCAATTCCCTGCACGAAGCGAGCATTCTGGTCACCTGCTGGTATTCTGGTGACCCCAGACAAGTGTGACAGATCTTACAAATCTCAATTAAGCTCGGCATTTTTAACTCAGCAGTGCAAACCAAAGGACTGAGGCCGTCTCCGGTCTACGAAACAACGTTTTATGTTTTTTTACGTTGGTCTATCAATCTAGTCTGAATTTTGTATTGCACAGAGCAACCGCAGAGTTGCGGTTTGTTTTCAGTTGGGGGTCTCGGCTTCTCTAACTTGGAGAAGAAATTGTACCAAACCACGAAAGAACCCGTCTTTGAAATATTTTGGGTTGCATCAAGCCATTTGTCACTGCTTAGCATTTCGCCTTATTTTGTTTTCCAAAACTTTATCCCTGATTGCTGGGACAAAACCGCCACTAAGCGGTGCTTGCGTGAGCCCCAGCCAACACGCACCTATCAAAGGATTTCATTTCGACGGCAGAATTTTATGGAGAATATTTAACGTGCGATAATGTTCGGCGCCATCTGCGCAGGCTTATGACCTCTCCCGACTTTGCGCGGCCTCCAGAGTGAAAAGCATGCGACTGTGGTGACTCGAACCACCGTCACGGCATGGGTTGGACGGAGGGCAGGTACTCTAACAGATTGAACAATGCGGACGGATGTAATAAGCGGCTTAAGCTCAATGAGCCCTAAATTGGTCTTATTGTTTTCAATAGCGCTTACCTAGGTGACGCTGATTGTGGAATTTTTGCGAGATCCTCGTGTGAAATGGTCTCACGTTCCGCAAAAATGCCGTTTTGAGTGGTGGCTGATATACATCTATATATATATATATATATATATATATATATATATATATATATATATGTATATATATATATATATATATATATATATATAATTGACCGCGAAACGCTGCCTCCATTTCCGAGCAGTTTTCAGAGCAGAGTTTAGAGCAGAGTTCCAGCACTTTCAGGGCCTTTCTGAGGCTTCAACTTTCACAGACCACACATCCCTGCGTCTCAGACATGATGGCTCCTTTCACCCATGTGGCACCCAACAGACCTCTGTTTGGCAGCGCCGGGGTGAATGACCAGCAAAGGATGGTTGCGTTAGAATAAAATCAGAATTTGCCAGGATGCTATATGGACCGCGGAGCCCAGACTGCTGGACTGTTGACAGCGTGCGTCCACTCCAGGATGATGCCGCATAAAGTTATCTACGTACATTTGGATGTAGCGTAGAGATGGATACAGACGCACGCAACCCCAAAACGTTGCTACCGACTGTTCATAGCCGAAACACTTGTAGCTCGCGACGGGCTTATCTAGTGTAGTATGTGCCTGGCTGGAACCTGCCGTCTGTCAGTCACACGGCACCCGCCGTCTGTCAGCCACACGACGCCCACCGTCTGTCAGCCACATGACGCCCGCCGCCTGTCAGCCACATTGTACCCGCTGTCTGTCAGCCACATGGCACCCACCGCCTGTCAGCTACAGCTTCAATTCTGCGGCCTCCACCTGGTGACCGAAAGTCATGTAAGGTGGCTAATGCGAGGTCACGGGTTCCGGGACGGGAGCTTCTGACGGGCGCCATGTCTGCGTGTGGCCGCGTCCTGTTGGTCTCCGCGTTTCTGGCAAACAGAATGTTCATGAGACGCAGTATTTCACGCGGGCCCGGACCGCGCCTAGACTGAGGCCAGTCCAGATGTCCATAAGGGAGCAGCATCGCGGTACACGGGCACTGGCACGCTGTAAGGAGCTAAACCACGGGGCTAATCCTGGGCAGCGTTTAGGCTGGCCACATATATCAAACTGAGAGAGAGAGAGAGAGAGAGAGAGAGAGAGAGAGAGAGAGAGAGAGAGAGAGAGAGAGAGAGAGAGAGAGAGAGAGAGAGAGAGAGAGAGAGAGAGAGAGAGAGAGAGGTCTTGCCAACTGGGCATGGCATTCCGCCGTTATTTAGCGATATTGTTGTTTGCCTGCAGCGTGTGCGTCGCATCTTTTTCCGTGCGACAAAAGATGCGACACACAAAGATGCGACAAAAGTGCCGCACCGCTTTCTGTATCCTTGCGGAAGTGAGAACTGAAACACCAGCTTCACGAGCACTTCGCCAACACAAAGACAACTACAAACGCCCTCCGGTGACAGCGGTGGTCTGTGTGGGAAGGTGGACTGAACCTCACTTTGACACCGACATCACCGGGCGGATAGACATGACTCGGCGGTTGCGGTGGACGGCCACGTGCCCTGAGTCACGTGGCTCACGCTGCGGGCGTGATGACAGTCAAGTATCACAATTACAACGCACATACTAATAACTGAAAACAGCGTTGCGTAGCCCACAGCTATAAGTTCGGGTGCATCTCCTACAGACATATGGCTATGTTCAGACCTTCAAGCGAAACTGTCTCATACGGGTACTCAAGATCCTTAAAAGACTTGAAAAATCCATAAAATCCTGAGCCCCGAGAAATCAAATGGAGTCAAGAGCTTCGAAAACGGATATTTATCTTAAAAAAAATCCCGTTTATTTTCCAGATGACTTCTGTAAAAGCTCTCCAGGAGCCCCTGGAGAGCTATTACAGAAGCTTTCTTGGGTTTTAAAAGCTCTCAACTTCGTCCCTCCTTGTCGCTATCCTGGCTATACACACATACATTCACGTATACATCCATACATCGTGGAATTCTTTCATCTAGCTACTTGGTTATTAGCAACCAGCAGCACCATGCTTTGTTCCACAAAGCTTACTTCAGTTTCATCCGCGGATGGGAAAACTTATTATATCTAGGTTGGATCAAAAGGGAGTGGAAGCAATCAAACATGATCCGTCTGAGACGCTTGTGCATTTTGCACCAAATCTGTAGGTTGGTCGCCAAAAGGCCTTTGGACTGTTTCCAGTCTCTAATGTCTGGCTCTGTTTCTGGCTGCAGTGACACAAAATTGTTGTGATTACTCGTACGGGAGCCTGCCATGCATTGTCTCCGTCACAGATAGCATGACAATCCAGCGAAATACCACCAGAGGGGGGGGGGGGGGGGGGGGGGGGCACTGGCACACGGGATTAACTCCGTAACGTCAGCGACCCAGAAGCTTTGCAGTAACGCCTCTAGGCGAATTAACCACGGCTTATGAAGCATCCGTTGCGTGAATAGTTCTAGTCCAGACATTGCAAAATCCTTCGTGTTTTATTCGGCCGGATTGATCCCCAGTGAAACGACTCTGTTATTTCCATCCTGATTATTTCGAACATATATTTTCATGTGAGGTGGCTGCTGACTGCACGTCACAGACCTTCAGCCCGGTCTGCTGGACTGAGCAGTGATGAGCCGGCCCTCCATCACCGCGCGACACTGTCTGGGACCGGCAGCGAGCGGCCGGCCGCAGCGGTGGGCGGCTCACCCCTGGCCTTCACGTCAGCGGCGTTCGGCACAGGAGGAATGCACGCCCCGGGCCAGGCCGGGTCAGAGCAGCCATGCAACGGTCCGTGCAACACCTCCTGGTGGCCGCCTGCTGGCTCCTGCTGTGGCCGACACCAGGTGAGAACAGGCCCTGTCCAGCTTACTCCTGCTCTCGCCGGCCTGTTGGCTCCTGCTGCGGTCGGTACCAGGTGAGATCCGGCGCTCTCCAGCTCACTCCTGCTCTCACCGGTGTGCTGGTTCTTGCTGCGGCTGATACAAAGTGAGATCAGGCCCGGTCCAGCTCACTCCTGCTCTCACCGACCTGCTGGCTTCTGCTGCGCCATGGTTCGGACCCGGGCACGTGCGTGGTGTGAACAGTACGCGTTCAGAGTGTGATTTAGAGTCACAAGGTCACATTGCTGATTCGTAATCAAACCCGAGTTTTTGCACTCAGGTCAATGTGCGGCGTCACCAGCGGCACACATTATACTCCCGACACTTATCCCGTATCACATATCATTTCACTACCGCGCTAGGCTCACATTTCCTCGAATGGAAGAGCATCACGCTGCTAACGCCGGCAGTCCGCTAAAAAGACGAAACTTTTTAGGGAGAGGAAGATGCCCTGGTTGCTGTGCGTTTTCATGTTTTGAACAAACCGACACCTTTCAAGTTCTTGTAATTATCTGAACAAATACTACTATTATGACTTCAAAAATTTGAAGGAGTCGCCAAAGAATGACATACTACACGCATTACCCGCTTACTACGGCACAACATCACGCATCACATCCTCACAGCACATGCTCGATATTAGCCCGTTTTCGAACGAAGCAAAGTTTCGCCTTTGTCAAGACAGGTCGGGCAGCCTTTCCGCACGCGCCGGCGTGGACCTCCCGTGCTGCTCTGCTGATGGACTCTTTAACTGGCAGGGAGTCCTGGAGATCATCGCGATACACCAGCCCCGTGTGATGTTCCCCATAGGAGGAAGTCTGATGGACTCAGGACGTGGGAGTGGACCAGGCACTCGTGGGCGGTTTTACGGGAATGGCTCTTCAGCTTTAACGCTATTCCGGCCGCAGCAGGCTTGCCCGGGCCATCTGCGTGAGGGGGAGGGGGAGGGGGGGCATCATATTGCTGGAACTAATTGCTTGGGAAGTTACCAACGCAGCTTAAGGGAGCTTTATCCATATTTGTAAGGTTCGCTCCCGGTTTCGGTACCTGGGAGCAGGCCCTATCTTATCACATTGATTGGACAGGAGCCCAGAATACCCCCTCACTCAGAGAACGTCCTTTCTCCCTAGTCAAAGCGACGCTGAGAGACATGAACAGCTTTGACAAATGTAGGTAACAGGGTAGTCTGCAAATGAAAGCTACGGTATTCGTTACTCTCCAAAGCCTTTATATGTTAAGAGCAACAACGGCCTCCATCTATCGCCCCCTCCCCCGCCCTCGCAAATCCCGGTCATCACGTTCTTGCTTTCTCTGAGCAAGTTCCTTAAAATGTGCCTTGCTTCGGAACTGTTGGCGATCTGCGTCCTCAGGTTACAGTGATCCGATGACTCCCAAACAACTGATGACGCATCAAGCTGTGGCCTCTGCACTATGCAATGGCATTTCCTGCACCAGGTCGGGGACTGGGGTGCCCAGAATCTTTTTGTTTTTGGTTGACAGCCCCGGCTAAAAACTGGTTCTGTCTGAGAATCAGGTGTCTACCAGGAATTCTCCGATGTTTGTCATTGTTCAGTTAACCACCAGCAGAACGCATTTCGATCCTTGAAGTCAGCGAGTAGAAAGCTCTGCCTGGTCCGCATTTAGTGCGGATGTGCCCCGACATTTTCATTCTGGATTCGGCTGGCGGTGTTCAAGGATATCTCATGCAGTTTTACAAACGGTATCCGGTGCCATGTATTTTCCTGTCGTCCATGTAATGGTGCAATTACCTATTCGGTTCATTCAGTCGGGGTCTCCACCCCCCTTCGCCTCTATACCTGAACCCGGGCTCGAGCATTCCAACTTTCATGGGAAAGGGAAACCAATACAGAGAGAATGTCGTTTGTTAACGTGCTTTGTGGTTAGATTAGACCAACTTTTCAGTGTTCACCCCGATCTCACCAATTTTCCGAAACGTCGCTTCTAGTACCATGCCTAGTTATTGAGATAAAAACATAAAATTGATGCAAAAACCTCGAGACGCACGACCTGATTTAACATGACGCAGGTCAGTACGCCGTGTGACGGAGGGTAAGAACGGCCATGTTGTATATGCGCAAATTACCATATTTGGCTCGCTTATGGCTGCAATCCTACTCTCGTGACTTGTGAATTCATTTGCTGCGTTTCAGAAACTTTTCTGCCGTGCAAATGGCCAATAAAGACTGTGACCTTTGACCCCAGGTGCTCACATCACCCCATGTGCCAGTGAAAGCCCCCTCGGTACGCAGCTGACTGCCGCATTTGACCCGGTTTACAGGAACAACAACGCCATTGCTGTCTGTCAGCGGTAGCACTGCGCAGTTCCCTGCCGCGAGCGTGGGGGCCTCCCAGGAGCCTCTGCGGGTCACACTGAAAGGTCAGTGGGCTCCTGCGACGTGTGAAGTCCCGAAACTTTTCCGTCATGAAACTGAGATGTGGCCTCGTGACTTACTGTAGGCTGCACCAGCCGGTTTACGTAGCAAATTGGGAAGATTTTCAGCTTGGTGCGAAACTTCGGTAGAATGAGTTTGCGCGCTTGCTCGTGTAAGCGAGTCTTAAATGGTAGAATGCGTTAATAAAACGCCGCGTTTGAGCTCACCCGCATCGTTTATAGATGCCTCAGTTTTGCACAGAGACGCAGCCAATGGAGAAGTTCCGGGAGGGGGGGGGGGGGGGGGGGAGCCGTGCTTCATCCTTACGCTTGGATCTTTTTCGTTTTCACTATAGATGGCTCCCGACAGAGTGTAAAAATCGTCGTGATGTGTACTCACCGAGTTCTTAGCCTCATCGTTAAGAAAATCCTTGCTGTATCCTTGGCATGTGTGCCAATTCGTATTTTTTGGTGGGGGCCCTGTCTTCCAATGTTGAGTTGGGCTCCTAGTGTCACCCGGCACCACCCCCAATGCTGGTCTGCTCCCTGCAATGTTTTCTTTTGCCTGCAATTGTAAGCAAGCAAAGGAAAAATGGTCATTACACAAAGACTATCACCTTTGGATATTTTTGGTTGGTCATAGCGACAGAGACATCCGTGAATTCCATTCGGGGAGACCCTCTTCAGACTTTCCATCAAGAAGTCGCCAGCCCTACATAAAAACTCAGATTTGGTCGGATTTTGGCTGCCAATATCATAAAATCACTAAAAATACCACAATAAATACACACTTAACTGACTGGTCCATGCAACAGAAATAATCACATCGCACAATGCGAACTCTCCCTTGCAGGAGCAGTGAGTATTGTGAGCTCGCGTAGTCGGTTATGCAAGACTGCCATGACCTCGGATCACCCAACACCCTTATTGGTTTTACCTTGGTGCTTACAGTCGAACTTTGAGCCCAAATAAAGTATAAAAAACAGTAACTGATATTTTTCGTCGACCATTTACCACGGAAGACCACTAGCTCAAACAAATAACAAGCTTTTTTGTCTTCTGTTTTCGATCAGTTGAACGCCCTACCTTCAAGAAATCCACACTCGGCTCAGGCATAGGTGCAAAATAAGCGCTAGAACCGAACGAAGCCGGCTCCAGCTTCGGCTTTGCTTGGCGAAGCCGACAGTTTATTACAATGGCTTCAGACCCGCCCTCGCTTTAAGGAATTGTTCACGGCTAGTTTGGCTTCGATTTCAGCTCCGCGCCGTTGGAACCTGCCATGGACGATGGCATAGGTTTCCAGTTGGGGGGGGGGGGGGGGGGGGGGCAAGATCTTCCAGGGGCCTCCCGGACAAGGTAGGGCCTTCTCATAGGCGAGACTCCTGCGCAGCGTCGTATTTAATGGGGAGGGGTACCGATTGCCTGTGCCCCTTATTAAACCGTTACATGTAGCATACCCAAGTAAATCAATGTTGACACTTAAACCATCTAGTACAGGACCTTCTTAATTTCCAGCAAAGTTCTCGCGAACCTAAAGCAAGGCCTGCTATTCCAGAAAAGAGCCTTAGGATGCTAACGGTTCACGAAGAGTGCCCCCAAATCTAGTAAAGGAGCCTCGCTGTCTCAAAGCGGGACATTCTGATCCGGCACCGTGGCTCTCTGATGCACTTAAGCCACCTCCTGTCCCAGAAATGGGCCTCCTGAATATAGAGAGTGCCTCCTAAGCCAACACAGTTTCTCCTGGCTTGCATCAGGGGCCTTCTGATCCAGCAAAGATGCCTTCTTAGCACAACATTGGGCTTGCGATCTGGAGCATTGGCTACCTGATTCATAAAGGTGACCTCAGGACCCAGAAACCGGCCCTCTTGATCTAGCAAAGGGTCTCCTATTTCTGATTTATTATTATCTTGTTCAGTTGTAGCGGTCTCCTTGATCTGAATTTTGGTACTCTACGTTTAGCTCCAATGCCTTTAGTTCGGGAAGAAGTCTACCAAAGATTTAGTCATTTTGATTCCAAAAATTTGGCGTGGGAGAGGGGGTAAATTATATTCTTGCTTCCCCCTGCCTGCCAGCAGGGTTGGCAAGAGCAGCTGTCTCCTCTTCCTCGCCCACTTGTCGGTAGGGGACAGCTGCGCCCCTTTGCCCCCTCCCCCTCCCCCTCCCTGCTGCGCCGTCCAGAAGCGGCTGGAATCGGCTTTGTTTTGTGTTATTCTTAAGAGCTGACTTCGGTTTTGACTTCGGCGTCGAACATGATACCTGAATTATGGCTTCAGTCTTGACCTCATGCCGTCTTGAACTGCTGGCTTCAGCTCTTTCGTGGTGTTTTTCTCTAAAGTTGCCTCTTAACTTCACACAAAAAGTCTTGCCTGCCCTTTCACTTCAATAAACCACGCAAGTTATCAATGTTGAGACGCATATATGGCTTAAAACAAGTCATCATCCAGACCATTTAACACATGACGAGGTGGGAGAGATAAATGACCAAAACGTTTTGCACATGATATTAACATACAAGACGAGGACGGCAGTCTGATAAATCTGTCGTTCGCTGTGCCCACACTCCGTGTCATTTGATTTTCTTTTGTGGAATCCTAAAGGTGTTATGCGATGTCATGCAGTTTTTACAGATGGCGAAAATTTTTGGACTCGTAAAACGGTGTTGTACGCTAAATTAACTCTGCCTTTGAGCTCGTTTTTAAAGGAAGGCAACACAACAATTGCATGACCAAATTCCATCGACCTAGCATCAGATATGAGGGTCAGACCAAGGTCAAGACTAACCTGTTTTATTTTCCTAGGGCCTGCTGTATAGGGTAGTTTCTGGCGCTCATTTCGAATTTAATGAACGCGGAAGCCGCATTATACATCTTTCATGAGCCTCGTATAGGTTAGAATAGGTCACTGACCTGAAATAAACCAGGTGAGCATTTCACTTTTATGAACATGCTGACTGGCATAATCTTTGTCGCTTATTAAAATACAAAACTCAGAGCAGTCTTCTATGATTTTGGTCATCATAAAGTTCTATCAAAAGTTAAATAAGGTCAGTGACCTTGAATGAGAATGTGAGCTTTTTCTTAGAACAGGTACCCATGTTCTGAGGACACTTTGGAAACCAACTTGGAGTTTGACCATTTTGACATGATTTGACCCGAAGGTCATGGCCAAGAAATCTCCACCCTTGACTCCAGTGATTCTGCGTACGGGCCAACATACCCTGTGAATTTGGCGTATCTAGCCCTATTGGTTCCTGAGATCTCAGGGGGTTAAAGTGACCATCCACCCGAACGAAGGGTATCCAACCGCCCACCCGGGAGCGCGTTAACAAACTGCGTCTGTTCGGCCGGCTCTGGGCCCCTTCAGAGCCTAAAAGCCACTTCGGAACCCAAGAGAGGGTTAGCCCCATGCCTCCCTCCGCCACTGGATCCTCCACTGGCCTGCGGCGTCCTCCCCTCAGCTTGTAGTACATAACCCTTTAGTTGCCGTCCCACCTCCCAGATGCCACCGTTGTAACTACGGCGCTCTCCTACAGATGGCAGCACGGTCGAAGCACTGCCGTGCAGCACTGCCGTGGTCCTAGCCCCGGTCTACACGCGGCCCGGCTGCCAGCCCATCACCGTCCTGCTGGAGTTCTCCGACGACGGCCGCTTCGTGGCGCTGGTGCGAGGCCGGGCGGCGCTCGTGGACGCTGGGACGGCACTGGCGATACTGCAGCAGGTGGCGAGCCGGCTACAGCCGCCCGCCCGGCTGGCGCTGCTCGGGCGATCCGTGGTGATCGTTTGGGACGTCGTCAGCACGCCGCCGACAGCGGCACCGACTGCGAGCGGTGGGAAGCCCACGCCGACACCGACAGCTGGACCGCCAGCGCCGGACCCGACCGTCGTGACCCCGACGCCGACGAACGTCACTGCGACGGTGAAGCCGGTCACGGAGACTCCAGTGGTGACACCCACCGACTCACTGCCGACGGCCGGTCCCGTCGTCACACCGGCAACACCCACAGATCCCACTCCTGCTCCCACGCCCCCTACTCCTGCTCCCACAGATCCCACTCCTGCTCCCCGGCCCCCTACTCCTGCTCCCACAGATCCCACTCCTGCTCCCACGCACCCCACTCCTGCTGTCCAACGCCCCACTCCAAGACCCACAGATCCGACTCCTGCTCCCTCTCATCCCACCCCTGCTCCCACCCCCTCGCTGATTCCAATTGACCCTAACGACCTTGTGGGTCTGATCAACAGCATCAGGAACACGCCGGGCGCCAATGTGACCACGGTGTCGGGGGAGTCGCGGAACCGGACCCGCACCGTGACCGTGACCAACGACACGGTCATCCGTGAAACGGGGTGATTCCCCCCCCCCCCCCCATCCTAGGGGATCTTGGACTCTACCGTCGCCGACAAGCCGCTCACCGACAGCGAATAAGATTAAGATGCGTGATGATTTCACTCAACACTCTGTGTGTGGTGGAACTGAAGCTCTCAGAGCCGGATGCGATCCATCCATCGTCCTGTGCGTGGCGGAGCTGAAGCTCTGAAAGCCGGATGTGGTCCATCCATCGTCCTGTGTGTGGCGGAGCTGAAGCTCTGAAAGCCGGATGTGGTCCATCCATCGTCCTGTGCGTGGTGGAGCTGAAGCTCTGAGTAACAGATGTAATCCATTCACTGCCCTGTGCGTTGTGGAGCTGAAGCTCTGCGAGACGGACGCGGTGCGCGGAGCGCGGTACCAATCGGCATCTTCACGACAGCGAATACAGCTGTCAATACCAGTACCATCAAGCATGACCCGGCCGTGGGCCATGCTCTCTCACCAAAGCTGAGACGGCGCTCCGCCTGACCAGACCGTTCTTCTCTGAAGGACAGTCTCACTGTGCGAGGGCGGCCGGGGCCTGTCACTGTCGTTCCCAGTGTGAGTCGTGGTGCACAGAATAAAGCAGACCGTATAGGATGTATGCGCCGCTAGCTCAGTCAAAAACTGTGTCGAGGTTTTTGCTGTCAGATGCATAGGACTACTTGAAACCGTGCGTACAATACACTTCATGTACCAGAGCCGCCCAGACCGTACCAAACTATTGGGTTTCAAGCCTAAGAAAGCCCGTTAAAGCAGTAAAGGGCACCAACGTACTTTGATGTGTCCGCTGTCATCAATGCGCCAAGCCGCTAGCCCATGTGGTTTGAATGAACATAGACTCGGAGAACACGTGCTGGCGAGGCCATGGCGGTGGCGGCGGCTCGCCGAGTTCGGCCCGTCTGTGCTAAAACCCTCATCGGCTCCTCCCTATCGAAACGTTCTCGATGAGCTACACCTCCGCTGGTAAGGAGCAATAGGCTCGTGCTATTGACAAGGCCGCCTTACTCCACGTGAAAGCGACGTGAGTCCCCCGCCAGAACGCCCATGCACAGCTCTCAGTTAAGCGCGGGGAAGCGCCTAGCCTACAAATCGTGAATTGGGTGGCGTGCTCAGAAGGCGGGCGAGCTGGAGAAACAGCAGTCGCTCAGACAAGGGGAGATCTGCATCAGAAGAGGGGCGAGGCAGCGACCCCGCTGACATTGTAGACTTTTTATCGCACAGCAAGGCGTCTTTGTGCATAGGCGATCAACCGTTGGCGGTGCATACATGGCATGGCAGGCATGGCTGGACTGCTTGTAGAGTAATGGCCATAATTCGGTGACCCGGGGAAAAATGCGTGTCACCAAACCCGAAGATTCCTCCGCAGTCGACAGCGGTGGTATAAGGCTGTTAGGTGCCAGGACAACGCACTCGTCGGATTAAGGCTTCGAATTTTCGGTTTACCCCCCCCCCCCCCCCTGCAGAAACTGTCACCAAATGCTTGCAGGCCGGTTGTGGTGGTTGTTTGCACAAATGCGGCGTTTAATTTGAAATGCATTTACATGTGCGCAACACGGCTATCGGCGGGCAATGCATATCTCCCATCGGTCGGCATCACCTGACAAATCTATCCGCGGCCGGTCTGATTGTAGATTTAAAGTGGTTATCCGTGCAAAGTGGGTGAAACCATCTGTATGCTATATTACTGTTGGAGACCCATCGGCCGGTGATCGTTCCTCGTTCACCATGACCGTTCCTCGGATCGTTCCTCGGTCACCATGACCCGCGTTGTTTAAAACATGCCATTAAGGAGCATTGATATCAACGGCCAGCCTGTTCGTGGCGTTATGCCCAGAATGCGACGGCCCGGAAAATATCTATAATTGCGAGCGAAGAGTGCACGATGTGTACTCGATAGCCCTGGTATAGCGCTATCAGCTGTTTGTAGAACAGCACTGTCAGATTGTGCGCTATGTGCATGTGCATAAGTAGGAAACAGCGCTGTGTGTATCCGACAGCAGTGGTAGCGGGCTATCAGGCGCCAGTACGACACACCCGTCACCTTTTGGTTTGATTCCTTTTGCTCGATCCCGCGACAGCGTGCCACTCAATTGAACAAGAGATGGGCAAACCCATGCAAATGTTTGATCTTTCTCCCAACTTGACCGATGATCCACTCTCGAGATGGGATATCTTTGTAAACCATTGAGGCATTTGCACGGATAAGGCACAACTAACTTGTTATGAGACGTATCGATATCAGTTATCAAGAGATGATTGTGCTTGGGTGCCCCTCACGCAGAACAGCAGGATACGCTCTTGCGATGTCACTGAGAGTGTAGTTTTCCCCGGACCTAAGATATGAGGACAACATCACGTGGCATTGTCAGTGTCATCTCGTGCCATTATGAAGCGGGATCAAAATATCGCGCTAGTGTAGAGTAACTGACACCTAGTCGGGGGTGTGAGCTGATATCAGTCAGCATCTGGAGTCAAAGCTCCGAGTCTTTAAGGCATCACATAAATTGCATCCATTTTCATTCAATATGTGCACCGATGTTGAAGCCCCATTCGCGCCTATTAATCCAACACGAACCAAAGGAGATTGCACTTTTCTGTGTATCAAAACATTTCCACGTAACATGAATCTGCATGACACATTTACCTTCACACCACCTCAACGTCAGCAAATAACTTTGAATACCATACAGCACCATATTGCAGACGTTTCTGATGTTACAAACGTTTCCAACATTCCAACACGTTCCAAACATAGTCGCGCCTAACACGGCATCCCATCGCAGTCCTCAGACGGCCGTGCCGCCCGATGGAACGGCGAGGAAAGGACTAAGTACAGCAAGGAATACGTTACACGGCAGCTGGCACAAGCCAATCACACAGCAACAGAGCAGCAAGTCAACAAAACCAAAATGGCGAAATGGTTCGAAAATCAAGGCGTCTGTGCTGATGGAGCGCGCGCAGACATACCACCCCACGCACCGAAAACCAATGCATCGTGCACAGCACGCGCGATAACTGAGCACGGCATCAGACCGCAAGCGGCCGGGCCCATCAGCAGTTTGCACTAGGACAAAGCATCTCACTTCAGTGCGCTGAAGCACGCGTGCTGAACCACGCGTCGCAGCGCTACGGAGCTGGGCAGGAAATGTGTGTTGGGGGAAGGGGGAGGCAAAGGAACCGCACTGAGTCATCCCGCCCGATCCCTGACGCCATCTGTCACGTGACAGCACTGACCCGGGCCCTCCTGTGTCCGCTACGGAGATCTCGTGAGCGCCCACGGCGATTCCGAACCTGGTCCATATGACGTCACGACAGCGATAGCCAATCAGCAGCTGAGTTGCGAGCGGCTGGCTTGGACTGTCATGCGGGTGACAAACCAGTCAGAGTGAAGAGAGCAGACTGAGACGAGACAAGCATGGCATGCCATCGTGAGGCGCTGGACCTCCGGACACAGGCGTGGCAGTGACTACCGAGCGCATTACCGAGATATCGCAGCGGACAATCTGTGCTGATGGATGCTGTCACCATGATCAATCATCACACGCCGACATGATCACAGCAGCCTCGTGAGCGACCTTCAGGACGTCACGCCCACGGTGCCCAGGCTGACCTGTTCACAACGACCAATCCGCGGGCAAGAGCGACACCACACTCACCAATCAGCACGCCGGCAGTGACGTTAATGCAGCAGCTATCCAATCACCGCCCTCGAGAATGACGTCACCTATACACAACCAATCGGCGCGGCGCGGTCGCTCCGTCCGCCAATCAGCGCCGGCCGTGGTCCGCCCGTCCGGCCGCGTGGGCGGCGTCTCGTCAGTCCGACCGAGCGCGCGGCGCCGGGGCCGGCCCGCCAGCACGTCTGTTCGCCATCAGCTGCCGGAGCGGCTGACGAGCGTCTCCCAGGCGGGCGAGCAGACCACGCGGTGGCTGAGGCCGCCCAGCAGCGCCAGCTGACCGCGCGAGCCGTCGGCGCCCACCGACACGCTGGCCGCCTCCTGCGGACGGCGAGCCGGTCTCGTCAGCGCTACGACGCCCGTCGCCTTCCACACAGCCGGGGCGAGCGCACGCACCGCTACCAGGAGGCAGATGGTGACCGAGGTGGGGGTCCGGTTTTGGGGTAACAACGCCTGGCACTCGCTGAGTCATTTACATTACGCATGTATTTCCATCTTAGTTATTTACATTACGCAGTGAGTGGGCAGGTAAACACGAGAGCTTCGTTATACGCATAGCACGGAAATATGGAGCTGCGTAGTGGGCGGGCCTCCGGATTTCCCCAACACTAGCTATGCATGGGAGACATCAGAAGACAAACCCACGGAACCTCCATTACATGCTGATGGCCATCCATTACATCAGCATGTAACGGATGGCTGAGGCCTTCCATTACATGCTGATGGAAACAACCATTCTGGTCAGAATCAATGCACTTCAACAAGCCGTTGATGAGCCGCACAGCTCACCATGTCTACACTGAGTGGGCGGTTGATCCGTCCGCTCATGACTCGACGCCCACCCTCGCGGTCCGCGCTGCCACTGACCTGAAGGAACTTGACCTGGGTACCGGGCTCCAGGTGCAGCACGTGCTGGCCCAGCAGCAGGCGGGCCCGGCCCGACTTCAGCAGCTGAAGCCGGCCCACCTGACCCTCAGGCAGGTCACGGAACGTCACCAGCTCAGGGTCGGCCGCCTGATAAAGGTCACACAGGGGTCAGAAGGTTCACTTGACTCTCACGCAGGTCCCAGAACGTCACCAGCTCAGGGTCCGCCGTCTGCCAAAGGTCACATTGGGGTTACAGGGTCCACCTCAGGCAGGTCACGGAACGTCACCAGCTCAGGATCGGCCGTCTGCCAAAGGTCACACAGGGTCAGAAGGTCCATCCGACCCGCAGGCAGGTCATGGAACGTCGCTAGCTCAGGACCGACCGCGCACCAGGGATCACAAAGGGGGGGGGGGGGGGCACGTGATTGCAGGACATGTCGAAAACCGCCGGACCAGCGGCCACGCCGGCGACATTTGAAGCCGAATATTCAGATGACTGGAACTGCGACCACAGCCGTGAGTAGGCTCGTTCCTGAATCATGGAAACAATGGGATCTTGTTGGTAGCATCCCCTAAAAGTTACGTTTAGACTCGCATTAATACCACAAGTCGCACAAATACAAGTAACAGGCCTGGAAATGACCAATGACTTTTCGCAGTGACTGATATGCTACGGATATGCTGGGAGCAATTCGAACATGGCCAGTCGCTGAATTTCATCACACCGGGCTGCGCTGGCTGCCGCGGCATGTAAAATGACAGTGCATGTAATGCCAGGTGAACAGGCACCGACGCTTTCTCGTGCTATCTGGCAGCTGGGACGACTGAGGCCATGCCGATCAACTCTATACGTTACAACGACATATACAGTTCATAGCATTTCATACATGGCATGTGATGGACAGACCTTGGCCTCTGATTGGCTGCCATCTGTGCCACCGGAGGTCGCGGGCGGGGCCTTCTTAGACTTCTGTTTCTCATCGCCGTCGTTAGACGTCAGCACTGGTAGGCAATCTGGGAACTGAGGCGCAAGCGTTGTTCGTAATGTACGGAGCGCTGGAGAGGAAGAGCCTAAGCACGCACACAGCCTTTGCTGGCGTCTGGTGTTGTGTGGCTGCACATGCAGCTGCGGTCAGCAGGGACGGGCCCTGCGTAACAATGCAGGACAGAGCGCTGTGGGCAGCAGGGACGGACCCCTGCGTAATAATGCAGGACAGAGTGATGTGGCCAGTAGGGACGGGCCCCCGCGTAAATGCAGGACAGGGTGCAAGGACGATGTGCGCCGGTGCACTGGCGCAGAGATCAGCTGGCGGCATATGTACACTCCCCTGCAATCCGGTGTAAGCAGGTTCCACTACCCCAGGGCGAAAACGGGATATAACACAAACAAGCCCAGACATACCATGGCAATCAATTGACTGGGGAGGCTCCACTTTCACCAGCGGTAGCGTCCTTGCCACTGCGCAGCACTAAGAACGTACTACATTGGACTCATTCATGCCGCAACACAGAGTCACATTCCACAGAGCACTTTGTAACCGCCCGACCGCTTGCCGCTGCACGGCCGCGCAGACAACGCTCAACGCCACTATGCTGCTACATGCACGGGCTCCGGCGGCACCAGCGACGGACGGCTGCGTCCGCCCAGTGCTGGGGTCATATCGGGCCCGCCGGGCGGCCGGCGGAGCCGTGCGCGCCGCCCGGGCCGTACCTGGAAGAAGATCAGGTCCCGGCGCGACTCCTGCAGCATGGCGGAGACGGACGCGTCGGCTGGCCGCTGGCTGCGCGCCGCCGCTGCCACCTTCACCTCCGAGTCTGACTTCTGGGGACAGAACGGCGCGCCGGGTCAGGTCACAGGACGGGGTCCGGTCACAGGGCGGGGTAACGTCACAGGGCGGGATCAGGTCACAGGGCAGGGTCAGGTCACAGGGCAGTCAGGCCACAGGGCGGGTTCAGGTCACAGGGCGGGGTGGGGTCATATGGTAGGGTCAGGTTACAGGGCTGGGTCAGGTCACAGGGCGGAGTCGGATCACGGGCGGGGGCAGACCCCAGACAGACGCGATCACTTCTCTTCACGGCATGCTGTCTTCGATTCCTGCGTGAGCTTTCCAGTTTGCAAGATGTCGACGGACGCATCGAGGGCGAGGCCGGCACGGTGTCCGACACACACATTTACATACACACCGTCCCGTCATAACAGACGAAACGTCCAACAGCCGGGAAAGACGCCGAAAGGGTCCCCATGACGTCACCACGTCGCCAGGCCCCGCGACTTTGCCGCCGCCGCGCAGCGGGGGCGAGCGGCCGGTGGCGGTGCATTGAGAGCGAGCGGACGGCGGCCGCGCAGGGAGGGCGAGCGGCCGGTGGCGGTGCACTGAGAGTGAGCGGACGGCGGCCGCGCAGCGAGGGCGAGCGGCCGGTGGCAGTGCATTGAGGGCGAGCGGACGGCCGCCGCGCAGCGAGGGCGAGCGGCCGGTGGCGGTGCACTGAGAGTGAGCGGACGGCGGCCGTGCAGTGAGGCCGAACAGCGGGCGTGCGGCGAGGGCGGCCGGCGGCCGTGCGGCGCCGCCGGTACGCGCGTGCCGTCGGCGGCGGCGGTCGCGCCTGACCCGCACCTGATCGGCGATCCGCAGCTGGCGGCTCATGAAGGCGTGCACGTTGTCCTCCTCGTCATCCGGCTCGTACTTGACTGTCGACAGACAACAGGACCATTAGCTCACACTCCTGGGCGATTGGCATAAGCGTGTGTATGTGTGTGATTGGGGCTTCGCGACGCACTCAGCTACTGAGGCTATATGGCGTCGCCTGCCTCTCACCCTGGCAGGAAGGGCGCGCACCGCGGGGAATCGAGCCCCGTGCCATATTGCCATATTGCCAATTGCCATAAGCGCTCGATGCTGATAGTTGTGCAACGCACATAGTGCAGTCACCAATAACGACATGCATCCAACCCAGGCCTGCAAAGTGAAACTAATGCAACCATCGAACTGAAAGCAGAGGGTCCAGCTGATAGTGGCGCACAAACAAACAAAACACTGAAAATGGCAATAAGCTGCATCTTTATAGCGCTTCACCCCAACCAGACTGCAGGCAGTCGCAGCAGACGTCGGCCATCGCATGACACCGCATCTCACAAGCACAGAATGGCCGTATCAACAGCGCTTATCACCGATCACCCGTCGCCGCCGCCGGGCGCCGCCTACTTTTGACGTCATCAGTGACGTATGAGGAGGCAGCCGACGCTGAGGAGAGCAGCGGCAGCCGGACAGGCGCCATCTCGTCGCCGGCATCATCGGCGTCCGCCACGAAGTCGTCCTTGAGCAGCGCCGCCAGCTTCCGATCCTGGCAGCAATCCGGCCGTGTCACGACCAGGTCATCAGAACTCGGTGGCGTCCGCCCGGCACGCGGCGGGCCGCGGCATCAGACGCGGCGGGCCGTGGCATGGACAGTCAGATCACCTGACACCGTCAGCCAAGACGCGGCAGCGCGCTGGCATCAGCAGATACAGTCAACCATTACCCAACAAATGCCTTGAACTAGTTGAACAGTGCGCGACCGCAACGACCCGGTGCACCCACCTCCTCCTCTTTGTCCACCTTCTTGTTGCCCGTGAACACAGGCATACTCATGGCGCCGCTCTCCTTTTCACCGCCGCCGCCACCTCCGCCGCCACCTCCTCCGCCGCCGCCCCCTCCGCCGCCGCCACCGAACGCTCCGAACGCGCCGCCTGCTGAGGGCCGCTTCTCCGGCGCCGCTATGCCTGCCGACGGAAGACGTGACGTCACACAGTGCACGTGACTCGTGTAAAATTAGGCACGATTAGACACTGGTTGGTCAACGCGACTGGTGCCATATTGGCTGCTAATTCAAAAACTTCGCTCCAAGATGGCGCTCAGATGGGTCTCGTCTGTCACGACGGCCTCACACGTCCCAACGAAGACCATACATCGGACTGGCCGCCTGGCTGGGCTCAAAGCCAGAGCCTGCGGCGTCGGCTTACCCTCTCCAAAGACGGAGCCCGACATCTGGACGAGCTCCGGCCGGTCGCGGCGGCCTCCGTCCCGCCCGCCGCGTCCGCCGCGGCCGTCTCTGCCGCGGCCCCGACCGTCCTTCTTCCGGTCCCGACCTCCGCGGCGGTCATTGTCACGGCTGCCGACCGGACCAGGTCAACACGGCGGTCAGGGGTCATCCGGGAGGGTCAGGACAGTGAGACGGCATGACAGCGCGGGGACGTGAGAGCAGCGCAGCTGCTTGGCGCCAGAGCAAGGCAATCAGAGTCAACAACATCAGCCATCAGCTGCGGCACTATGCGAATGGAAGGGAGCGTGTCTTGGGTGCCCAACTTGTGTCAATAGCCAGAATCTAGCCTTTCGTAAGAAATACAATAAAAAATTAGTCATTATGCTGGGCATGGCAGCAGGAAAAGGCGCCCACAGTGGACATTGGCAACTAGTCATGACATCTCTCTGCTTGCCTCTGGCAGGAACTTCGCCCCAAACCTCGGTGATCAGATAGGTACGCACACAACACACCCTCTCCAACGCCAGCCCTCCTGGCGTCAGAGCCAGCGAGCCGGCGGCGGCGACCTACCTCTTCTCATCGGGCTTCTCCCTCTTCACGTCCAGGTTGGGCACGAACACGCGCTTGTTCTTGGTGGCGTGCAGCAGTGCGGGGCGCAGCGCGGCCGAAAGCGTGAGGTCGCGCGGCGCGCGGATCGACGGCAGGCGGGGTGGCGCCGGCCGCGGCCGCGCGGCCGGCGTCTCAGCGCCACCGCTGGCGCCGCCGGCCGGTCCGTCACTCTCACCGGCCATTGCTGGCAGAGAGCGGAGAAGTACAGGTCAGCAGAGGTCACCAGAGCATCACTGGGGGTGGGGTGAGGAGTACAGGTCAGCAGAGGTCACCAGAGGGGTACGGGCCGTCAAAGGTCACCAGAGCATCACTGGGGGCAGGCATGGTTCCAGGTCAGCAAAGGTCACCAGGTCATCCCTAATGGCTGGGGGTTACCAGCCAGTAAAGGTCACTAGACCATCACTGAGGATTGGGAGAGGGTTATAGGTTAGCACAGGTCGCCAGAGCATCACTTGGGGTAGGGAGAGGGTGTCAGGTCAGCAGAAGTCACCAGGCTATCACTGGGGGAAAGGGAGGGTTACAGGTCAGCAGAGGCCACCAGACCATCACTGAAAAGAGGAAGGATGCAGGCCAACAGGACTCACCAGACAATTGTTGGGTGTGGTAGATAGGTGCCAGTCCATGGAGGACACCAGGGAAAAAGACGTCAGACCAATTGGGCAAGTCAACAGGGGAAAGCAGGCCACAAGAGAAGTGGAGGATTTAGAAGATCTGGAAGATCAGCAGGCCATGCCTTTTCATGGAATCAACAGGGAAATAAGCAAACAAGGTCAAGAGATCATAAAATGCTGCAAACATTTAGCACTTTTCTGTCAAGAGATGATAAACACACATCAGGCAATACATCTCATAGTAAAATCATCTAAGATTTTGTTGGTGAAAGTTGCCACAGAATCTTACCAATAATTCAGAAAATATGTTGGTTTTCATCAGCTTGACCATGTCTAAAAACTATGTTCCCTTGAACACAAGGGTGTTCTCAAAGACTATCTGGTCTAAAATCTCATATCTACCATAAAAGGCTATCTAGTAAGAATCCTCCTCATTTTCCAACCTATTTTGGATCATTACTGTAAACAGGCATACAAAAGCCACAAAACACAGTCAAGTCATTTTTGGTTTAAGATGGCTTTAAACATGAAAAAAGATCCCCAGCTGGGGTCTGTCCACATTAACAGCAGCATACTAAAGCTGGCAGATTGCCCATTATGAAGCCACATGGTCTAGTATTCACTCAGCTAGGTTCAGGTCACCAAATTTTAGGCCTAATTGTGCAACCATATGAAGCCTTTTTCATTCTGCATACTTTTATATCATGGTTGCCACCACAGCCTTTCAGTGTTAGCCAAAATTTTTAATTGCTCACTTGTGCAATACCACTTTTTCATCCCACATTTGTATCCTGTCTCTCATCAGAGTTAAGGCCACCCATATTTTCCTTATCTTAGTTTAAAATTGATTTAAAATCCAGCAAAGGAGAATATTTGCACAAACAGATATCATCCCAATAATGGTATTATCAAGTACATCCTATCAACTATTGCATGTTACCCTATAGGCACAAATAGGTGTCTATTGTTCTGAAAGTTCTGCACACACCACACCCCACTAACTGTTGTGCATAAATCATCCTAAGAATTGTAGCACCCTTAGCAACATGAAATCACACAAAGCTGAGATGCATTGACAAATGCACAAAAAAGTAAAGCTATTTTCTGAGAATATCAGTTGTGATGCATACAGAAATGCCCACCAAAACCATTGTGTCCAAATATTTTGAAAACCATCTTTGCTCAACACTGTTATCAATATTGCTAGGACATAGTTTTACATATCCTCAGAGGATTAACAGTTGCTTTAAGTGTGAAGCAAACAAATCATATGATAGACTGAATGTAAAAGAAAATTCAATTTTACACTGCCAGCTGATGCATAGGAAGCATGAAGATGCTGAGAGTATAGTCATTAACATGCCTGCATAAGTCATACATCCTAATGACAATGACAATGATACTCAAGGAACATGAAAAAATATTGTGCTTACTAAGGCACTACCTAAATTTAACTATATTTAGCTGTGTGATGATAACACTGTATTGGCAGGATCTCTCAGCTACTGCTGAATACCACCACGGTTCCTCATTCATAGGAAAGCTGCGTATCCTGAACTTTGAAAAAGCATTGCAACATAACACCACAAAGCCAAAGTTTTCACCATGTTAAATGCTTTATTAGTGCACACAATATTTGTTTACAGTCACATTGCTGAGCACAGAAGGATAAGAATCAGCAATTTAAACAATGGCTCCCTTTGAGCTGAAATTGGTGGCGGCTGTATGCCACACCGAGGACTGCTGGAGTTAAGATATGCATGAGCTGAATTAGGTGCTAGGATGTCGCTGCTACGTCGTGAATCTTCGGCATAACGATTATTTGTTTGCAGTATGGTCAGACCCCACCATCGCATAACCCCAAACATCTTACCTTTAACTAAAGCTGAGGCTATGGGGCCTCAGTTATCAACGCGAAGATGGCGCACGACTTAAACACCAGCAACTTGCTGATACAGATGTTACAGCCTATATCGGCAATCGCAAACGAAAACCTGAAAAAAACAGCACCCAATCCCATCAGAACCGAACCACCAGAAGTAGTCAGCACGCCACGATTCGTCAGAAATGAAGTAGTGGTGCCGTAAAAGTAGCACGAAATGGCTACCAAATTTACGTCATCTTACGCAAATGTGAGGATGTATTTGTATTTGTTTACAGTCTGACCGGAACCTATCATACAAACCCAGAGCAATGTCCTGCACGACTGCCATGCAAAAAAGCCATGAACAATTCCATTTGAGAGCCAGCACGTTTATCCACGTCTGTTACGCGGATCACGAACCCACGTATTAGGACTACTGCTTTCTGTTTTTGGTTTGTTTCTTTGTTAAAGTATCGAGCGTCATTTCCCATGCCTACCGGCCAATACTGTTACCTTGTTACGCTCCTGGGCGTCATTTCCCACACTGGCCACCATTATATCACGCGGGATTTCAACCATGTCAAAATATCATCGCCTGCATTGTTTGTTTCTGCGCTTTCTTAACCGCTCTTGCCTTAACACTAACTCTTGGCGACATCTCTCATGTTATCCACCAATAAGTTGCGCGGGTGTTCTCCATATCTTCGTTCCCTTCAATTTGATTTGTGCCGTCCGCGTAACTAAGAGCAGGGGCTCATCATGTCTCCGCAATATAATTATGGCCATCAGGCGGATTCCTCGCCGGCACAAAACAGCAAGCACGAAACTCCCACAGCTCAACTTGCATAACAGCAGAAAGCGCCGTGATTTAGACGAAGTTCCTGCACGGTTTTGGAAATAACGTGCTCGCACATGACGTTGTGTAATACATTAAGTTTCGAGCACGCTTCAGATACTAATTAGTGATAAAATAGGGACTCGTCATCGGATTCACATTGCTTATAAACATGCAATTTAGTTGTTTAGGCTAGCTGTGCGTGGGGAAAGACGGGCAGTGTTTGACTCTCTCTTTGTCTCCCATATTGATCCTGTAATTGGGGTTTTGGGACGCGCTCACCTGCTCAGCCTATATGGCATCGCCTGTCTATCAGGCGAACCACGCTATGATATGATCATTATATCATATCATATCATATCATAGCACGAATGGTGGCCACTACAAGCCAACAATAATCTGGGGATAGTGACTGCGCTTGCCAATAATTAACCTCACAGATTACATGCTCCATGGGAGTAATCCGTCTGACGACAATCATCATATTTGTTTAAATTAGTTATGCGTGTCACGGTTAATGGCGGATGTTCGCTGACTGCATTTATTCGTAGGTGATTATCATCGAGGTAGTTCCCTGTGAAAAACTGATTTCCTCGAAGTGACTGCATGTTGTGGCGAAAACATTGGCTCACCAAGAAAAAATGGGGTTTTATGGAACAGACACCTCCGTCCTAGCATGTTTACCGATCATATTAACGGTAGGCCTATAGTATTTTCGCTGCGCACTACCTGCAAGGTATGTGTAACGATCAGACGACCTTAATTATGGGCAATAGCCATACACCATGTATAACCAGGAACTTGTCGCCAATAAATAGCAGTCACATGGTGTATGGCTCACCAAGGTATCAACACATATTGCCCCACCCCTATCATCACTGGACTGTGCCGGAGTCGCTCACCGGCTTGCCGGAATTTCTCATTGGCCCATAAGAGCGACCCTCGCCTTCCGAAGTCGTTGGAATGCTTCTTACAACAGTACTCTCTCGTGGCCTAACTCACTGCCGGTGCTAAGGGTCAGTTACTCATGGCGATCTTAGTGAGCCCCGATCTATGGCTGCAAGCCAATCCACCAATGGAAGGTTGAACCAACGCTTCCGACAGCCCGACGCCCTTTTACGACCTCCACCTTCTGGGAGTCGCAAGAGGGCAGCTGAAAGGCGAATCTCACGTTCTACGAGCCACAAATCCATTAGCGGTACCCTACACGTGCTTCTGCCACTCTCTCTAGCAGCTAGCGATGTGCAAAAATGCATCCCACCTCATATGTGAGCCGCGGAGAGATTGACCAACGGCCAACTCCCAAATTTATGAAGGAAGTGGGAAGTTTCAACCCACGGGTATGACAACGGCCCACGTACCGCGTATTATTTTCTCCTTCGCTACCCGCGGGGAACCCATGCCTACGTAATACGTAGGCCTACCTCCGTCGCTCCCCGCAAGGAGTTATTATGTAAAGCATCTGTGACGCCTTCAACCCGTCGTGGTAAAAACATTCGATTGCACTCGGGGAAAAATCCCTGTCACCCCAAGCTACACACGATAAGTGAAACTATACGAGATAGAGATATTGAGGGGCAAACAATGACCCGACAACGGCGCGTCATATCTTACGTTGTTTGTTCCGCTCCGATAGGATCCTCGAATGCGCCGTGACAATCCATGGTTTATAGAGCGCCATACCGATATGCACAGCCAAAGCACTGCAGGTCAATGATATGGTTAATACGTCGTACCAAAGCCCAAGGCACAGAGCGCACCACAGCTGATGCGTCGGGCACGTGCATCGATCGTTCCAAAATACTAATTAGATCAATATGAAGTGACATTTTCCCTTGTGCATATAAGAGCCTTGCAAAATTGACAGTCTTGCTCTTCGTTAGACTGTTAACGCGCGGGTAATAATGATTGTTATGCTGTATCAGTGCTCTCATAGTTTGGTAGTAATACCAATAAAATTGGTAATAATATCAACCTGCTTTTTTACTCGAGAGCTTGCTTTATGGTGTAGTGTCTGGCGATCATTTCAAATTTGTTAATGATAGAGACCACAACAGACATGTTCCAAGGACTTTTTCTGGGTAAGAGTAGGTCACTGGGAGCGACAGCGGTGGATGAGCACAACCATACATATAGCTCCTTTTTAGTCGTTCTGAAAGTGAACAGAAAATTGACAGACAAGTGAAATGTGGGCACCGAGTCCAAACGCTGCTAGGTAATTGATAGCATATTAGCCCTTTTCCACAATGACCGGAGTGGTGTTGTGTTATCATGTAGTAAACTCGTCCCAAATCTTTATTGGAGACCATTGGTGCTGTTGTTTTCAACAAGATCGTGTTCAATGTGTACAAATTAACACCGTTATGTAAACGGGGCCTTTACACCGTCCGTTACACTGTGCGTGTGTGTGTGTGTGTGTGTGTGTGTGTGTGTGTGTGTGTGTGTGTGTGTGTGTGTGTGTGTGTGTGTGTGTGTGTGTGTGTGTGTGTGTGTGTGTGTGTGTGTGTGTGTGTGTGTGTGTGTGTGTGTGTGTGTGTGTGTGTGTGTGTGTGTGTGTGTGTGTGTGTGTGTGCTTTCCTGGTGCTCATATTCGAGAGACAGAGGTTTAGGCTATGACGCCGTGAGGAAACTTGGCGACTGGCTTCCCTCTGCTCCATCCAAATCCTGCGGAAAGGCTAGAGTGAGAGTGCGACGCCTGTAAAACCACCCTCTAAATGTGTTTGCGAAGCTGATGACGAGCAGTTTCGTGCACCAACATGCCTGTTTTCGGTTTGTTACACATCCCTTACCAAGGCTTTGAAAGGGACTTTGGTCCTAACGTACCTAACAGTTATGAGATGTTGGGTTACCTGTAGATGTACAAACAACGAACGCCATTTCGTGAACCACTAAGGAAAACACTGTAACTTGATCACTTGGATCCCGTTCGCAATCTGAATTTTTCATTTGCTTGACTTGTGAATTTGACATACGTTAACCTCAGCTGACCTTCAGGTCGGCCTTAACTGACATTTGTGTGTCTCGGATACTTTTTGCCACAGCTGCACCTAGGGCCGGCGCCACGGATTTTTGATTGGCGGCCACATGCTGTTTCTCAAGATGCGAGTAGGTTATTCTTGTAATGTGAGCTTTTTTGTAATGCCGGGGACGGAATAAGTAGGTTAGATTCAGATGTGGCCGGTGGCAGATAGATGCGTCGCGGGCCTGTGCTGTTTTTTAAGGTGCGAGTACGGTTTTTGTTTGCTGCGTTTGGCCCGGGCGCTCGTTCCGGACATGTACCCCAGTGCCATCAATAGGGAGCGGCCGTTTAGAAAACGCCGACCCCGTCGGAGGCAAGGGGGTGAGAGTACAGAGTGCAGAGTACAGAGTAACACATGGGAGAGACACAGTAACAATCGTGGGGGAGTCGCAATCGTGGACAGTCCCAACAAGGGGCGTGTCGCTCATCAACAGGACGCGCAGTGACGGCTTGACGGCAGCGCTGCACCCCCCGCCCCTCCCCCCCCCCTTCAACCACGTAAGCCGGTGAAGGAACCAGCGACCGTTCGGTGGCTCCCTGAGGTCCCCGGCCATTTTTCCTTTCTTTAGATGATTTAGAAAAAACGCATCCGGTAGATTTTTCGGGATTGCATTTTCACACATTATTGCTGGGGTATTATATGTCGTGTACTGTTTTGGTTTTTCACCCTTTTGTCTTGATAAATCACCCAGTGCATCGATAGGTTGTAAAATTCAATGAAAGATCGCCCGTCCGCTAAGTGACTTCCGGTTTTACCAGTTATAGGCTGCTTTATGAAATTGTTGATTACCGATAACCTTCCTCGAATGAGGGCTGGTGGTTGAGGATGCCGTTGATACTTGTTTCGGCGCAGGCACAGTCAATCGTCTGTTCACTTTGATGCCGACTTAAGTAGCTAAGCATAAGGGTACGTCCGTCCATCGCCATCGTTCTAAAGGGTAATGGGCGACATACTACCTTTGCGTTAAAGGAAATGTAAAGGTATTAAAGATAGTAAAGATATTAAAGCAAACATCAGATGTGATGAAAGAAGCTCACTCGTAACTATTGGTATGTTCTTGAAGTGAAAAAGATTGTGTTAGACTGCATAATTCGCTGTTTCGTAATCATACTCCTCAACGCGACATGGTTTGATTACGTCATCGTACCTTACACATTGATTGAGAGCCGGTTGACGGTCGTCATGTCTGGAAATTGTGCTTACGAGCGCCAGACATGAATGCCTCGACAATCACATACTTCTAGGCCTTGATAGCCGCATGACCTACGGAATGACAGGATTTAAATGACGCTATTATGAGGGCATG